TATCCTGAGCTGTGACCCCACCAATACCCCCTAGGACCTACTAGACGTGCCTGTAGCTAGCGCCCTATACTCCATTTACCGTAAGAACACTATTGCTAGGCTTCCCAACATCCGACATGGCATAACGATGGTCTTCTACTGCTAGACTACGGCCTAGTTTCTGGTATCTAGAGATTCGTAATTGATGATACCCGAGAGTAACGTTAGTATGTGCCTACTCTGTCCCGCCAAACCTAGCCCGATCCATAAGCTTCTTGTAGGCAAGGGAGTAGGTATTCGATGTGATATGATCCCCTTGTATGCCTAACTCACTAAGGGATCGTTTAAGGATGCCAATGGTGGATGGGATGGTAGAGGAGCTGCTGAGGCAAGTCGCTGTTCCTTTAGCAACCGTAGATGACCGATCTATTAAGGAAGAGTGACGACGTTAATGGTATAGGTAACTAGGCCGACCTCTATCCCCATCCATGATGGGCTTTAGGTCTACCCTCAGCTGAGCCCTCTGCTCAACTGTGCGACTGTGTATGTACCTGCCCGTCACTTTATATTCGATATACAAGAGCTCATCCATACACACTATACATGTAATTACAACACACAAGGTGATCACTATGGTCTCACCTATGGATAATCGCAGAAGAATAGTCAGGAAATAGGGCTTTAATAGTTGTTGATAAATCAGTATCAGGGTGCGGATAGGCCTGTTAGACGGTAGGTCATTTGTTACCATATCGATTGTTCCGAGACCTTACCTCCTCAAAGCTAAGCCAATCGCCCCGTATATCCCGTAGACTCCGGGACCTCCTGTCCAAGCAGCTCATGGTAAGGTATTTTTCGGAAGAGGAGAATAACTAAAAACTTGAAAATCTTGCATTTCCTTAACCATTGTAGCTCTTTTGGCGAATCGATCGATTCGCACGGTCGACTGGCCTCAAGACGATTTAGGTGGAAACGTCCCACACCCAAGGTAATACTGAGGGTATGGATGGTAGCAGTATGGTAGTTACGAGATGCCTAGTATATAGATGTGTTGCGCTTGGCTCGTACGCCTCGAGTCGTTACGGTGTTAGTGGGGTGGTGATTATGAGAGGTATCGGTGGTCATGGTGTCTATGTTGTTGTTGTTACTGTTAGATGGTTCAACGCCTTACATACCGCCGCAAGGTCAACTTCAACACTAAGTCTAACAAGCAGAAGCTTGTCAAGACTCCTGGTGGAAACTTGGTCTATCATAAGATTACCAAGACCGCTACTGGTCCCCGTTGTGGAGACTGCAAGGGCAAGATCAATGGTGTAATGAGGGATGCAATATAGGCTTTTACTTGGTGTCATTCATCACTCACATACCTCCATGCCAGGCTAGTCATCAATTGCTGTTCCTTTAGGTTAAGTGCCTCAGACCCTTCAAGTACTCTCAGCTGAAGCAGCGTGAACGTCACGTCTCTCGTGCCTACGGTGGCTCCATCTGTGGCAAGTGCGTGAGGCAGCGCATCATCCGTGCCTTCCTCCTCGAGGAGCAGAAGCTCGTCACTGCCGCTCTCGCTGAGAAGGCCCGTAAGGCTGCTCAGAAGTCCGACAAGAAGGCTAAGGTCAGCAAGAAGTAAAAGAGTATAAACTCCTATTGCCAAGTTGCTGTTATCGATGAACCTTACTGCGTGGTGGGCGGATATCATTTCCACTGGGACGAACTTAGAGTGGTGTTATTAGTAGTTAGTAGGATGAGGTAGTTAACACTGTCACCTCAGTGATGCAGTTGTTAGAGTATTGATGGCGAGTGGTAGGCAAAGGGGGGATGATACAAAAGATGTCGCCAAACGAGTATCTGTGTAAGACGATAATATGTATAGGCGGTATCGATCTATTAGGGAGGTTGAGAAGTTTTGGAAGGCATCCAGTAAGGTGGCTGAGCATCTGTATGAGAGAGATAAAGCAGCTAGAAGGCGTGAAAGGAATCTTAAGAAGTAATCCTCCACAGAGCTCTGGGTGATTATGGAGTATATCCAGGTTGGACGCTCTTGTTGAGAAATCAGAGTTATTTGCAGCCTCTGTGGGTGACGCTTTGGGTAGTAGCCATTTACTGGTCTCAACTGTTGTCGAATAGGGTAGTAATACCTAGATTCAACGACTAGCCAACAGCCTAGTTATGCTACACCATCTACCTACGACTCCCCTCATCCACCATTACTGGACTCTGTACCATCCCAACCACTAACACAGGAGGAACGGCGGGAAGTGGCAGATGAAGTGAGGAGTGGTTAATCTAGTGTGCTGAGTGGAGGAGGAGTCCTCATGGCACCAACATCTTCGGTTTGACTTCAGAATGCAGTCGGCTCCGCAATAGGTGGGAATGACGTTGACACCAGTAGCAGCAGCCCTAGGAAGGTGGTAGTAGGGGAAGTCTATTACGAACCGTATTATCAGTGTCAGAGGCCTAGAATATCTGACGATATACCCATCACGGTAGCCAGATCTGCGGGTGATCATTTGGGCTTGAAGACTCCCATACCATCTCTAATGCGGAATTGTACACTATTAGAGTAGTACTCTCCTTACAGATGAATCCCTATAGTAACCCCTTGATCATCAGGTATCAGCACATAGGCTTGGACTGGTTGGTCACCTTGCATGATCAACGTCTCAATGGTATACTAGCTGATGAGATGGGATTAGGGAAGACCATACAAACTATCGCTATGCTAGCACATCTGGCATGTGCTGAGAATATATGGGGGCCTCATCTGGTAGTAACCATAAAGTTGGATCACTCCGTTACACGCAGTAGCGACCCTTCAGTACTCATCGTCAGATAGTCGTGCCAACCTCCGTTCTCCTCAACTGGGAGCTTGAATTCAAGAAATGGCTACCCGGTTTTAAAGTTCTAACTTATTATGGAAGCCAAAAAGTGAGAAACTGATTTTTTGAGGCATCAGACGATAATCAGGTGAGGAAATGGAAGAGGATTGGCTGGTCTAAAGCCAACAGTTTCAACGTATGTATAGTTAGCTACAACCTCGTACTGAAAGATGCGCAGGCCTTCAAGAGGATGAGATGGTAATACACCGGATGCAACTTTGTTGGATGGCATCTACGTGGCTTTAGGAGTAGTAGTAACCTGCAACAACTATAGTAACCTTTATACAGCAACGTTGTAGGATATGATAGCAATCTAGTATAGAGGATACATGTGCATTGATGATACCCTCCAGATGGGAACATAGGCTATAAAGTTTACCCTTCTATCCTAGTAGCATGTGGATAATGCTGTGTTACGTCTATCCGCATTACGTGTGATGGGTGGGGACGATGGCCATGGTCATCAGGTATTATATGATACTGGATGAGGCACAGCATATAAAGGACTTTCGATCCCAACGATGGCAGACCTTACTCACCTTTAATTCCCAGAGGAGGCTTTTACTCACTGGTAAGAGCTGCTGTGATACTACCCCAAAGAAAGCATCATCATCATAATTAGTAGCGGCACCCTATGCTAGGTACTCCACTACAGAACAGTCTCATAGAGATGTGGTCCCTGTTGCATTTTCTTATGCCTGATGTTTTCGCTAGCCATTCGCAGTTTCAGGAATGGTAGTTGTTGTTAATTATTATCCCGAAGCATGTTCCCTGCATTCTAGGTTCGCTGATCCGCTTACGGATGCCATTGAAAAGGATAACTCAGCCGAGGGGCAAAGGGAACTGTTACATCGGCTCCACAAGGTTATCAGACCCTTTATACTCCGGAGACTCAAACGACAAGTTGAAAAGCAAATGCCAAAGAAGTACGAGCATGTTGTAAAGGTGGAGCTATCTCGGAGGTGAGCTATACCTCTAGGCTGACATCGATGATTATAGATTATCATCCTGCTAGGCAACAAGGGCTGTATGAGGAGTTCATGAATCAGCGTGATATAGGACATGATGTGGAAAACCTTGATTGTAAGGGCATCATGAATGTAGCAAGCAATGATCGTAGGAGTATAGTACTACTCATACAGGTATTGATGCAATTACGGAAAGTCTGTAATCATCCAGATCTATTCGAGACACGTCCCGTACGCTCACCATTGGCCATGCTCCCTTTGACGCTGGAGCTACCCGCAACATTACTGTTGTGGACTAATACGCCTTATAATAAGGATTACTCCCAATATACCACCTATGGCTCTCTGTGTTTACCCCTTCTAGAGGTGCGGGGAGACTCTCGTCGTAGGGCGGTCTGGTCTGCTATGCTTGCTGTAAAGGATACTCAACTGGGTGATGGTAAAGGGCAAGGGAAGCAGTATCGGTGCTTCTTGGACTACGCTAGGGACAAGTTGGAGATGACTCCTATAGGACAGACGAGGAGATGGTTGGAAGACGCCTACATACTCGAAGAGCGGCTGAAGCATGAGAGACGGAACCGAGCAGATGTGGTGTACGATGCTGCTGCCACCGCCTCCGTTGTGAATCCGATGTATGGTATTGACTGTATACGTATATGTTATATCCAACCCATGTATTGTAATGAAGATGAGCTGACGAGAGCATTGAAAGCAATGTGTCTCCGCCCTTATGAGAGACTCGAGAAATATAGTACCACCTGGCAGGCTTTTTTCCAGTATGTTGAGATAGCAGTGGCACCGCTACCACGAGTCAGTTTCTCGGGTGGTCATCAACAATCAGAGAGAATTAGAAGGTATGAAAGGTACAGTCCCCTGCTGTCACGTTGTACTGCTCGTGTCAGGATGCAGCGTAAGAGTGTATTCACGGGACCATCATCCTTAGACCAGGATTCCCTGGCTTATCATCACGTTAGGCTTCTTAGACATTGTCGCTTCCCGGATAGGTAAGTCTCGATTGATTATGATCACATATTGATCATGATGTTCTATATAGGGATATGATAGAGAGAGACTGTGGGAAGATGCGGAAGCTTGGGGAACTTCTTACTACTCTCCGCGATGGTGGCCACAAGTGTATTGTCTTCACACAGATGTCTAAGATGCTTGACATCATCGAAGCCTCTATGAATCTTCATGGCTTCACCTACGTTAGATTAGATGGCAGTACTCCAGTAAGTAGAGCACGCCACTAGGGAGTACCCCCCCACTGATAGCTATTAGGTTTTGCGGAGGCAACTAGTCGTAGAAGCATTCAACAAATCCCCCAAAATCTTTGCCTTTATAGCCTCGACTCGAGCAGGAGGTGTTGGTATTAATCTCACAGGTATTCCAGTGTCCCCATAGTGTGCAATTATGATGATATCTCCTGTATCAGGTGCCGATTGCGTGATATTCTATGATTCCGATTGGAACCCTGCAATGGACCGCCAGGCCATGGATCGATGCCATCGTATTGGTCAGACGCGTGATGTACACATCTTCAGGTAGATTCTTGTTAGAGATGTTCAACGAGAATATGTCTGTCATTTGGTTAAGGTTGTTGTCTCATCATACAATAGAAGAGAACATCTTCCATAAGCAACTACAGAAGCGGATGTTGGATGATGTTGTTGTGGATGAGGGAGCCTTCACAACACAGACCATTATCAAATGGACAGGTGTGGATGTTGCTGACATGCTCGAGGGAGTAGCTGATGACTCTACTTCTACGGCTGATCTACTCAAAATGACGTCCAATGATATCCAAGAGGCAATG